AACACAAAATTTTAAATTGAAAGGGTCACATATTATAAATTCATATTGTAATGGAGCCGTTAAAAGGGTCGCTCGAATTTGTTATAAATAATTAATACCGCTAAAAGAAAAATTAATCATACATTTGAATACATTTTCTCGGTCTGCTGTTATTTATTTATGACAATTTTAAATAAACTGAAGTTTTTGTTTACTTTTTACTACACCTTTTGAAATGTAAATTATTACGAAAAGGACTTTTCATGTTTATTCTTTTTGTTTAATGAGCGTTCCAAAACAAAAAAGCATAAAAACGGTTTTTTTTATGTCGACGCTAAAAGTTAATTGCCAAAATTTGTATTTTGGAACTTTCGGGACGGAATATTAAATTAATAATAATTGTTTTAGTCGAAATGGGAGGAATAATAAATTAATTATAAACATCGTTGTTTAGAAAATTAATCTTTTCATTGGCAAGGCAAAACACGAATGTAAAGTGACGTTTCTGTGTGAAAAGTGACAGGTCTGTGTGAAAAGAAATTGACAGCATCGTTTGACATTCGTTTCAAAATTTGTTTTGTATTTGTATATGTCTAAATATTATTTAGAACACAATTAATTGTGTTTGTATAATAAATTCCAATTTTAGTGCCTTTATTTCAATATTGAGAAGTAACTTATACCTTAAAAATTAAAAGAATAAGATGAAAGTAATTTTGACAGCTGTCAGACACGTTTTTAGGTTATTTTGTTTTGTATTTGAATTTAATAAAAAATAAAAGGGTCGTAGAAAAAACATTGTGTTTCACTTGTGAGAAAAGCTTTCTTCAAGCTCGTGTTAATGCACACTCGGCCTTACAGCCCCGTGAGCAACTTAAACACTCGCATGAAAAAGTCGCTTTTCAACACTTTAAAACAAATAACTATTTTCTACTTCCACCTTTAAAACGACAAGTTGTTGTTGTTGGCTAACTAACTTCAGCCCGTTAGACATTTAATATCATACAATCGTTAAAATAAAGTGCCCTTCTTGTAATATTATACTAAATTAAAATAGTATATTCTGTAACAAGTTTGGAATACAGCATATTCCGCTCGAGTGAAAAGTTTGTCACACGAGCCGAAGGCGAGTGTGACGGTTTCACGAGAGCGGAATATGCAATTCCAAACGTGTTTCAGACTATACTTTTTCTACGCTTATAAAAAATACCAGAGAAATAATTTAATTGGAAAAAAGTTAGGTTATCTTTTGACAGATGTTAGATTTTATGATGGTAGTAAATAAGATAATTTTTAAATAAGCTTATAAAAATTACTTACATAATTTTGCAGAACCTAAATTAGGAAGTATAAAGAAGAAATGGACAAATTGTAAGGAATGACAAATAAGTTATTATTTGAATTTCAAATTTCGAATTAACTAATGACAGACGTAAACAATTAACCAGTGCTGCCATCTCTTTGGGACTAGGTCAAACCTAAATATTCTAATAGAATCCTACTAAATCGGCCAAACAGAATTACAACTAGCTTGTAAAGAAGATATATTTTGGGTATTTTTATTAACGCAAACTGTTTTAAATCCTATTTGTATACTACCGATTAATATTTTCTACCGGGCCTTTCTGAAAAAACTAGATTTGGTAGGAATACAAGTGAGTTATAAAATAAACATAGAGATGTCGCCCCCAGTGCTTATTCCATCATTAGAACATGTGCGGAATAATTATTCTGTAACACTTTATGGAATATACGTAATTCCAGATTAAAAAGTCATATAAGAACTGTCAAATTCCGTAATAAGCGTAGAAAAATTATTTTATTATCTTATCTTCTTGTAAAATAATAGATACTAAATGTAAAAATTATTTTTTATCCTAATACAAAAATACAAAAGTAGTAAATATTTTCTCAACGCCAATATTTGAAAAGTTTATATGAACATTGTACTGACCTTTTAATTTCGCAGGCAGTAAACTAGATTTAACTTGATTTTGAGTGAAATAAGCCGTTTATTAAAAAAAAAAGTTTTAGACGCGCCTCTTGGAGTGTTGAAATTTTTTATAATTGAGTCGTATAGATTCAAAACCCGCCAAATCCATTTATTGAAAGTAAAGGACAGAAGACATGTTTCCATAACAACATAATTAATATGTATTGCAAACATATCTACTGTCCTTTACTTTCAATAAATTGATTTGGCGGGTTTTGAATCTATACGACTCAATTAAGACCATTTTTTTGCATAATAAAAAAATATTAGGTATAACTTACTTTGAACACAAAAAAAATGTTGATATAATTTTATTATATGCTGCGCCCCAAAGCTTTTAAAGTTCCAATATGCAGCTCTTTGATTAAAAAAAAAGAAGTATTAGAATAAAACATACTGCGATGTTGAATAGGTTAAGTAGTTACAGGTCTGCTTTACTTATTCAGTATTCACAACCAAGACAATAAAAGTACTGAAACTCAGTAATTAAAAAAAAGCTTTAAGAATTTACTCATACAAAATTGTTACAACGTGATGTAGTAATTTAAAATTTTAACATCTGTTTTTAGTAGACTTCAAAAATTAAATTTGCAAAACAAAAGTATTTAAAATACCTGGCTTTTAAATAAATTATGTACTACCTGGATAAATTGGGTTATTCAGGATGGCCATCATTAAACCACTCAAAAAGCTTTGTTTGTTGATAAACATGAAAATAAAACTACAAAAGACCGTCGTCATAAAAGCCTGGCTGCATTAACAACTGATAATAAATAAACAAAAACGAGGCACTTCCTCTCCTCGACTATCTTTATTCTGTTTGCAGACATAAAAACTATGCATACTTCCCGTTTGAAGATTTACAATTTATAATTACACACTTTTTATTATTATATTTTAATTACTTGTACATTGCTTTGCATATCTCGTTTATTTAAGACGGAATGCAACCGTATTAATTGCATTTAATTAAAAAATAATAATTATTATTGTTTGTACTGTTGTTTATAGTATATATAGTTTATAGTATAGTTTATAGTATACTACTTTAGAATTGAAACGCATACAACGGCATAATTGTTTTTTTCAATCAACAGGGTCAACGATAATAAGTGATAGATGACGGAGTAGCTTAATGATGAATAGTCGCAGCTAATTATTTACTTGAATTGTATTCTGGAAAACTTAATATTTAAAAGTTTATCTAAAAAGATTGTCGAAATGTAACAGTTAATTTAGGAACAGGATGAGTAGTTTTAAACTAAATTTTGGTCACCCTGTATAATTCTTTTCAAAATATGGTTTCCAGGAAGGGTTTTCGGAAAATTTTGCACTAACGCCGTACCACGTAATAAAAAATAAAATTGCAATTTTAAGTTTAAAAAACACGCTGTGTGAAATATTGGAGATCCAAGTGTGTTGAAAACGGTTGTGCCCCATATTTAGAGCACCCTGTATAGCAAAAATATTTACTTTATTTTTTGTATAGTATAAACATATTATTTAATTGGCACAAAATCGTTAAATTTTGCACATTTCGGTACTATAAAGAATAGCAGTAAATACATAAACCTACCTAATTAAAAACAAAACACTTATGTGGCATCTCATTACTTTTTCGCACTTTGTTACCCCGTAATATTTCCAAGTCATAGCTGAATAAAAATGACAATGGATTTTACGAGTAGGAGATTTTAATAGATTTTAATAGTAAATTATGTATTAAGTTTGATAAAGTTTATAAACGAGTTGCATACTATACTTTTTCTACGACGAACGCTATTATAAGAAATATTTTTCTAATAATCAATTAAAATATTTGTAAGGAGCGACATCTACAGTGTGACCCATTTGTTTGCGACTCACCCCTGTAAAATCTTTATTTATTGTGCGATTTTAACCCGATTTGTTTTAAAGTGTAGATCTTGATAAACTGTATTTTTAAAACGGCATATTTTTGCAAAATACAAGGCCTACTATGTCAGTTTTTAAGAGAAAATTTTTAAGAATCCATATTAGCGATTTTTTTAAACAAAATCTAAGCACGGCACTGGATTCACCACACCTCAAAACGACCCTATACTAAATTTTATTAAAAAATTTTAAGAAAAATAATGCACAATAATAACTACAAAAATTTATTTTGTCAACTTATACATGAAAAAACATGGAAATAAAATTAAACTAGTAGAAACATGGTACTTTTACTATAATTTTATTTCAATGATTTTTTTCATGGATAACGACAAAATAAATTTTTCTAGTTATTATTGTGCATATTTTTTCTTAAAATTTTTTAATAAAATTTAGTATAGGGTCGTTTTGAGGGGTGGTGAATCTAGTGCCGTGCTCAGATTTTGTTTAAAAAAATCGCTAATATGAATTCTTAAAAATTTACTCTTAAAAACTGACATAGTAGGCCTTGTATTTTGTACGAATATGGCTTTTTTTCTCCAAAAATACAGTTTATCAAGATCTACACTTTAAAATAAATCGGGTTAAAATCGCACAATAAATAAAGATTTTACAGGGGTGAGTCGCAAACAAATGGGTCACACGGTATATAAAAATAAATTAAACAAAATTATTGCCAGAAATCTGTTTTGCCAGTTTTAAAAATTGTGTCAGTTTTTAAGTTTTTTCCTTGAGAAGCATTATTTTACAGTGAAATTAAGGTGGTTGTTCTTTTCACTACTCCCCAAAATATTAAAACTGCTGCATCGGCAAGTACTAGTTAGCTGACTGCAGAATCAAAATGTGAGTACAAACATGCATATATTTTTTTTTAATTGGAGTCAATAAAATATTTAATAATTTTGTATTTTTCTATTGAGATAATAACATAATTTTTAAATTTTAGTATTATTTCACGATTTTGACTATGGTATGACTATTAACAACTGCCAACTAACTTGTCAATGGAAACATGTACGATAAAGGTTAAAAAAGTAAATTTAATAGAAGAGATAAAATTATTGTGCTTCAACCCACTATTTAATCTAAGGTCATCAATGTATTTTCTACTTACTGAATGAGAAGAAGATAGGCTTCTTGTGGGTCGGTGGTAACGGACTTTTTTGAGGTACACTGTGTATAGAGCGCCATCTGTCTTTTCTTCGCCCCACAATCGCCAGGTGGGCTGCTGAAATAAACGAAAATATAGATAAACTTTCATTTAAAACTTGCCAAGATAATACAAAATTCAAAATCAAAAATTTTTAAAAATATAATTTTGCGATTAATACGATTTTTTTAAAATTATGTATCACGATTTTTTAAATTATAATATATTGTTTTCTGCACAATTATAAAAATCAGATTTGTTAACATCAGTGTGTTACTTTTATTTTGTAAAATTTTAACACAAGTCTTTGTATAAAACCCGGAATTGTTAATATTTTAACAACATGGTTAACAGGGTTAAAAAATATACATATAATTTTGTTATTAAATCTACAAAATGTCTGTAATAATAACAAACTACTTATTTACTTAATTAACAGATTACAGTTTTTTGTAAACGTAACATAAAGTTTTGTGAACCAGGATTAACATAAAATTTGGTTATTATTTGGTTAAGATTAACAAATATAATTAATTAATTAATTAATCAATTAATTTAATTGACAACAAATTGCAAAATAAATAAATGTAAGATATCATGATATGATATTACAAATGCGGTATAAAAATATACCAGAATACTACCACAATTTTTAACTTTAAGTACCCCTAACTAAATAAACAAATAGATGTCAACAATTTTCTTTTATCTTTCACTTCCTGACTATGTAGGTTTGTATTTATTTATAAACCAAATAAATATATGTATACGAAATCCGAAGGAAGTAAACAAACATACAGTTATACGTGGAGATAGAGACATAAATTATTCAGTCTTTTTTTTATCAAAAATGGGTTTTTTAACCATTAGGTTTTTTACAAAATGTTTAAAAAACAACAATACCTCAAAATATTTGTTTTATCGTTTTTAAAATGCAATATTACGTAGTTCTAGGTATAAAATTTTAATCAGTGACGTATATCGTGCGATTATAGTAAATCCGGAAAATTGTTTTTTCCGGAATCACGCATTGTTGACTTCAATTATTTTCTACTGATAAAACTTGAAAAAATATATCAAATTTGTTTTCTATCGAATAGAATGTGCAAAAAACATAATAAATATTTACACGAATCACATCATTTTGCAGAATGCAGGATGTTTTTAAAGGAAGTGTAAAAAATATAAATAAATACATTTTTTTAATATTATGAACCGTCAGGTTATTTTCTATTTTTCCTTACTTGTAAAGGGTGTCCCATTAAGACCGCCTATTTTAAATTTACTGTCATTTTTTTTGTGTCAATCGTACAGCATTGTTGTTAGACAGTGGTCTTGTGTGAACATTGAGGTTAAGTCATGGAGATTTACACGAACGCCGAACGCATAGAAATTGTAAAAATCCACTATCGAAATGGTGAGAATTTTTCGGAAACGGTTTGAAGATATCGTGGATTTTTCGGTCACCATAACGCACCTTCTCGCCGTACTGGGGTCCGATTAATCCTGCAGTTTGAAACGATTGGGTCAATTCAAACCAAAAAGAGACATGTCCGTGTTCGTGCATCTCGGTCTGCTGAAAATATTGAAGCAGTTAGTGAAAGTGTTGAAAATAATTCTTCCACCTCGATTCGCCACCGTTCCCAGCAATTGAGACTCTCTCGAAGCAGTTTACAGCGAATTTTGGCCAAAGAACTGCATTTTCATGCGTACAAGATTCGGTTGACACAATATTTAAAGACAGCAGGCGATGCACAGCAACGAAACCATGGAATTATTGAGGACAAAATTTGAAGGCAGAGTTATCTCGCGCCGCGAGGATGTGATGTGGCCAGGCCGACCATGCGATTTGACTTAGATTTCTTTCTTTGGAATTTTTTGAAGGAAAAGGTTTATGCTAATAACCCAAGAACAGTTCCTAAACTAAAACATGAGATTCGACGGGTCATTGATGAAATTGAGCCGGCACTATGCCAAAATGTAATCGAAAATTTTGTCAAAAGAATCAACGTGTGCCGTCAGTCACGAGGAGGCCATTTATCAGATATTGTGTTCCATATTTAACCTCCATGTCTTCCCTCTATATTGCAATAAAAATATCTTAACTTTTTAAATAAACACGGCAATTTTTTTAAATTTTAAAATGGGCGGTCTTAATGGGACACCCTTTAGTTTTATAACTATAGTTTTATCTTATCCTAGGTTATTTGACTCAACACCAATTCTCTCGAAAGAGAAGAAGAAGATATAAAAAAGGATACTGTATAGTGCCGGAAATTCAGTAATTTCCTATAGCCAACAAGCAATAGAAAATTGATCAAAGAGATTACACATTCGTCTCTCTCTTACTCGTTGCATATAGGAATTTAATGAATTTCCAATACTGTATAATTGGGTAAGACAAAAGCGTGTAGGGGCCACTAAGCAAAAAGGTGGTAACTGTACTGTACTGTACTGTATTATAATATTGGTTACCACATTTGAGCTTAGCATGGCAGTGGCTTTAAGGACCATTCATATTTACCAGCACGTAGCGTGTTCAGAGTGTACCAACACAGACACAAAAGAATGTTAAATATAAAGACTTGAGTTGTTCTTTTGTCTTTTGAAGTCTCAAAAAGTTTTGTTATAATAGATTGACCTAAGTATATTATCTGTAAGGGTATTCACTTCCACATTTAAAACTAAAGTCAATTAATTCTATTATTGCAAAACTTTTTTACATTTCAAAAAACAATTTACAAATCTTCATATTTAATGATATTGTTAGGTATTTACTTACTACTTAAGATATCAATATCTTTATAGTAATAAAAATCTAATAAACAAACCTGGCATGCTTTTCACCTAAATTATCGCTCATAAACAAAACTGCATAACAATAATAGTCACTTACTTCATAACAATAACAAATAAAACTGCTTTGCACATTAAACTCCTTGCACATTTTAAAACGAAAACAGAACCGCTTACTACAAAGCAATTTCCGCGACTGTGCCTTATCTTTATTATATGGTTTTTCACGCATACAAAAAAATTATCAGCGACATATATGAATGTCAATTGCTTATTATTATTACTCATCAAAAAAACACAATAGATAAACCCTACAATAATAATTGTAAATCAGGGTCTCGGAGTAAATACCAAAATTACGTAATTTATTTTTTTTAACTTAAATTTAAATAAAAAAATTTTAACGCAAAGATAAAAATACGCAATGCTAATTTAAATCTCGCCGAAAATTACATAGTTTAAACGCAAATTAGTTTGATTAATAAAAATTGAAACTGTTGCTTATAAACTATGTATAGTTTTAAAAAGTGAAAAGTTTGTTTAAATTATAAGCAATAATTACTGGCATATAAATTATAATAGACTTTATAAAGACTTTCTAGTTTAACGCATGTTAAAGAGACGCTGACATTTCTATAAATATTTTGTTGTTCGCATACGAAAAAAAAAGTAAGAAATCAAGTTAGGATTCCTGTAACGCCATGGAATTTACCCCCTAACCAAAAACTTATTGGCATAAATTTATGAAAATATTGAGAAAATCAAAATAAGACGAAAACCTAAATAAATATTTTTCCTAATTACCTAACCTCAAAGTTTGTATGGGACAATAAGCTTAAAGCAACCCCCGTTTCTACGACACTGTGTTCACTCAAACAATTGTAATTATGTGTGAATATGTGTTTTGGTGTAAGTGTTCGAAAAATATCACCTTTCCAAGACTACCATAGAAGAAGTTAAGCAACCCCTGCTTCTACGACACTGTGTTCACTCGAACAATTGTAATTATGTGTGAATATGTGTTTTGGTGTAAGTGTTCGAAAAATATCACCTTTCCAAGACTACCATAATAGAAGTTATATTAAAAAAACTTAAGCAACCCCTGTTTCTACGACACTGTGTTCACTCGAACAATTGTAATTATGTTTGAATATGTGTTTTGGTAGTAAGTGACTGTTCGCAAAATATCACCTTTCCAAGCCTATCATAGTAGAAGTTATATAAAAAAACTGATATGATAAGTAACACTTTATCACCCTGTATCTTTTACACATACGTAATTAGGAAAAATATTTATTTGAATTTTCGTCTTAGTTTGACTTGCTTAATCTGCTCCTAAATTTATGCCACTAAGTTTAGGGACACCTTGTATACGGTGACCCAGAAGTCGTGCACCACCTTGAAGGTATGATCTACGGACCCCAAAATATCCCAGAAAATTGTTTAAAAAATCTACCTTTGTTATTTAAAAAGATAATTATCTTGTAGTTTAAACTAAACAAATATTAACATTACATTGACACACACAGGCTAAATGACTTGCATTTTTTAAGCATTCTTTAAACACAATATACATATCAGAATAAGTGAGTACTACTCAATCTACAAAGGTCCTTTGACATGTATTTCTTTAGTATACTTTATAAAGAAATGAAAACATATCAATATTAAACAGAAACGCTATGACATACTCTGATTTTGAATTGTAACTGACAGACTCTGATTTTGAATTTTAACTGAAAATCATTGTCTATAGTGTGATGTCAACAGATAAAAATCAATTAACCAATTAATTGTTGCACATCATGTTGTCAAACGTTGTTAAAGTGCAAAAGTGCCAAACGTTGTTAAAATGCATTTTGTTCATAATAATTATGAATTATTCATTCATTTATTAATTCCTAATGAAACCATTGTTTGAACATTCTGTACATTAGACCTTCTATATTAACTATGTATATTTAAAAGGTGTTTTATTTTAAGTGGCCCCGTATTTAACTTAAATATACAATAAATTAGTCTTAACACGATCAATTAATAAACAATACACCAGATAAAACCAAGATCTCCTGTCTGGTGTTTATTCAATTAAATAAATTGACATCGTAGCATTTAAGTGGACATCGGTCGTTAAAACCAAATTAATTAATAGACTGCCCTTTTTCTAATCAAATTGAAACCATTAGGTAATTGCTATAAGAAACGTAAGGTATAGCCTAACGATTTAATTGGGTTTCGGGAAAATTGGGTCACAAAAATTGCAGTTCTTTAATGCTGTTTGG